TTATTTATGATGTTACATTTAACCTCAACATATCCAGCAAACATAATTTATTTTGCATCTGTCTCTCAGGTTTACCTTGGTTTTAACCTCATAATCCCATTGATTCCTTCATTATACTCCTTCAGTGGGATTTATTGCACATTACTGAAAAGACACCGCACATTAATCTTCCACTCCTTTGGCCATGATCAGTGCAAGTAATTCATTATTCCTGATTTTTTTTTTCTCCTGTGCTTGGAGTTTACTTCTCTTCTTTTAAAATCAGCAGTTATTTTCGGCAACTAATAATTATTATGCAGAAAATAATGAAGAAAGAAAGCTTCCTCGGTAAGTACATGGCTTCTAATATTTGCATAGTTCATATTCTAATTGGTATTTAGTTTTTCAATTCTGAATTTATGAATCGAGCAATGTAGACATTACACGTAAGGTAAAAATTTGATATTTTTTTATAGTGAATAGTGACTCTATTGACACCTGTTTAAATAATCACTTTATTCCTCAAATAAATTCATTTAATTAGATCTCTTTAGCTCCAGATCCCTTCAGGGGCATTGAGGGCATTAGGAAGTTGACAGGTAAGAGAGACAGGAAGAGTTTTAGGGAGATGGGCATAGAGAACCAAGATTGGTTAGGGGAAATGTGGAGAAACAGACAAGGTCATGAGGATACTCAGGAGGAAGGTTGAGGGGATCAAAAACACAAAACAAGAGTTAAGGTGTGGTATACAGGACTGTAGGGGTTAAAATATTTTATTTGCCATGAGAAAGGATTACCATGTTTTGCGTTGGGCTACAAACACTAGCAACGTCCTTGATTAAAATATATTAAATGGATAGATAGATTGATAGATAGATACATGCAATATGTAATAAGAAATAGGAATGTTTGAAAACTGCTAGATATACAGATGGAGAATCAGAAGATTAGATAGATACATAGATGCATTCTGATTCATATCTATCTATCTATCTATCTATCTATCTATCTATCTATCTATCATCTGACTCTCCATCTGTCTACCTAGTTTTCCTATTTTCCTGTTTCCTATTACATATCCCATCCTATGTTGCATGAAATATAAAGAGGAGGAAGTACAAATCTGTCATCTAGTATCACTACTGCCCATGCCCCCATAGACTGGGTGAAAGATGAATTTTAATCATCAGACAATCCATTAATTAGGGGTCCTGGTTCCATAGCTTTCTCATTTTATGGAAGAGTGCCACTATATCAAACCATCCCCCATAAGTCTTACTTACCCCCCAGTGGATACATTTTGTGTTCAGTGGTTTGTGGTGGGAAGGAATAGTTTTGGCGATAATAACTCAGGCTCAGGCTCTTTCAGCTACTTTTTCCCTTGATGTTGGTCATATCATTTAGTAATGAGGTCTTAATGTCTCCACCACCTTGGGTTAGCAGCTCCAGCACTCAACTCAAAATTTTCTGTATTGCTTAGAGTTAGACCCAACAACTAGATGGGGGCAGAGGGGGACATAAAAAAATTAATAGTCTGCCGCCCGCAAGCCACCGTGGGGGAAGGGTGGTGAACAGTGATCTGTTCTACCCCAATTTTTATTCAAAGTCCCCCACCTGATGTCCATGCGAGAGGGGTTGGAGGGACTATGTCTCCCCTGATTTTTACAGCCCCCATACCTTTAAAATGGGGCCTGTCTAGCACCTGGGTAATAATGGCTGCACCATTTGGGGTGTTTAAACCCTCCGTTATAGTAATATTGACCAGATTTATTATTGATCTCATTTAATTATTGATTTATATTTTACTTTCTTAATGTGGCTTTTGGCTAGAACACATAATGAATCTGATGGATGCATTCAGTTTGGTATTATGTTAAATCTGGTGCTTTGTTAATGTTCAGTATCAATTTGTAAAGGGTTTAGATGCACTGATTTTAATCAGGACCGTGAAATCATCTCGGTGATTGCTTAAAATCCCATCAGACCAACTTAATTTTAACCCTATTTGGCTTTTATAAATTTTAGAATTGTCCCTGTGGTGGAAATTCAGTTGAAATCTGGTGTTCACTGAATAAGCCGGTGAGTGAACATATTTCCAATGAGAAGTCCAAGTGCCATTATATTAAAAAAAAAAAAAAATTCTCTTTTTGTGGCACAATTAACAATATTTTTAATTCATTTATATTTGCCTTTTTTTGGATCAACAGAATTAAAAAAGATGTGTGAATAGTTGATCTTGATGGACTTTACCGTATAACTATGTAACACGCCTAAATAAAAATGCAAGGCAAATATTCAAAAGTACAAGCAGAAATTTCAGTGTCATTTTATTGAAAATTATATAATTGTTTAAGTGACTGTTCTGAACAGATTGACATTCATAGCAATATGTTGATGCAAGCAGCTTAGTATCAAGGGTAAATCATATAAAACCGCATTAGGGCTATCACATACCAATTGAAAACAAATTATACAAGTTGCTATATGAATACTAAATGACATTTAGATTTTATAGCCTTCCAGCTGCAAAAAAAAATGTGACAAATAACATATACTGAGATTTTATGATTTGATTAATTTTGCATCAGAGAGTTGTTGAACAATCACATGTGTTTCTCTTTACAAACATCAACAAACATGAATAGTAATTCTACAATCCTTAGAAAATCAAGGCAAGCCTGTTAAAGATGGAACCGGCAGCTGGTGTATGTGAAAATGACAAAATTCATTCTTCCCTCGAGAACTTATTAGCTCTTAAGTTCCATTCTTTATCCACATCATCAAATCACCAAAGTATCTGCAACTGGCTATACTTATCTCCACAGCAATGGCTTATTTCAATGCTTTCTTGTATTTTACCTGGATAGTTTTTTTAACAAGAAACTCAGCCAAAATGATCAATAAATAAAACAGCAGAACTGCATATTTTTACATTTTAAAGATATTTACTAGTTTGTAACTCCTCAGGAGATGTGGTTTCCATAGGGATATGATTAGTTTACCAGGCAGAAACTTCTCATGAGTCATAGCTGTGGAAGAATAGGATGCAGCTGATATTTTTTATCGATTAAGGATGGTCTATAGGTTAAATACATGTTACATTTTTGTGAAGAATCTTTTTCCATGGTTACAATCTGTTAGACTCAATGTCATTCTGGAGGAAAATTGGGAGGGAGGCATCAGGACATTTGGAACTCTTCATGATTACTGGATCTTCTATAATCTCACCTGTCAAGGGGTGGGATATATTAGGCAGCAAGTAAGAAGTAAGCTCTTGAATTTCATGAGTTGGAAGCAGGAAAAATGGGCAAGCAAAACCATTTAAGTGACTTTGACAAGGGCCAAATAGTGATGGCTAGACAACAGCATCAGAGCATTTGAAAAAACAGCAAGTCCTGTGGGGTGTAGTCAGGGCCATCTTTAATACGCTGCAGCTGCCCCGGGCCTAGATATTCCTGGAGGGCCAAAGGCAGCTGCACCGTGACCCCCACTGCTCTCAACAATTTCAAATTTTCCCGCAGATGCAGTTGAGGCCCCACACTCTGAGGAGTCCCAACAGGTGGCCCATGTACTTAGGGCCACCCAGTGGGATTGTAGTAGCAAAAGCCTGGTCGGGCGCTTTGGCCCTTTAACAGCGTGACCGGACCCCTTTGCTTTTTGGCAGCATGGTAGGAAGTGAGAGCATCTTCACCTGTGTGCTTCTTAACCTGCCCTTTGTTTCTTATCCCCCTTTTACGTGTCTTACCCCCTTTAGTATATCTTATCCCCTATTCCCACCATTGCATGTCTTACACCCCCATTTGTGTGTCTAACTCCCCCAAGCTGCTCTGTGTCTCTTTTTCCTCTTCTCCAGCCCCTCTGTGTCTCTTTCACCCCAATCCCCATTGTATTTCCATCCCCAGGCCCTTCTGTGTGCCTCTTTCATCCCCGGCCCCTCTGTGTGTCTTTCTCACCCCCAGGGCCATCTGTGTGTATTTCTCCCCCCTCATGTCTCTCTGTGTGTCTTTCTCCCCACTCAGGCCCCCATGTGTGCCACTCTCCCCTCCATGTCCCTTAGTGTTCCTCTCCCCTCCATGTCCCTTCGTGGTCATCTCCTCTCCCCTCCTCTTCCTGTTCATTAGTGGTCCTCTTCCCTGTCCCTTAGTGTTTCTCTCCCATCTAAGTTCCTTACT